GTTGGCTGGTGTTCTCCCTTGTTGATGAGTTGTCTGTACTGTAACAATATGACATTGGCTAGTTGTGTCCCCTGTTGGCTGGTGTTCTCCCTTGTTGATGAGTTGTCTGTGCTGTGACAATACGTGGTCGTATAGAGCCCACTTGGAGGTGGGTAACTCCGAGGGAATCGTGTGTTTATATGCTGTCTGGGGCACCCCACTCCACTCTATGAGCACCACTCTCAGTACACGCCCTGCCATTACAGCTTGATAGAGGCAGTTGTTTCACTGATTAGATTGGTAGTTTGGATTAGTGGGATAGTACCTCCTCCCTGCTGTAAAATGTAAACAGCTGTCCGTTCTTACACTCCGTGGCTAACAGTCGACTTAATACACTAACACTCTTGTCCTTACCCTATATTTAAACCAACCTGTGTTTAGACGGCGTGACACTCTAATACCGCACCCCACCCCCTTTGACAGCCCACTTCTCTTACACCGGGCTATACGAATGTAGACATACCTAACATAGCTCGCTATTGTGTTCGCCTTGTCTGGATATGATAGATTCCTCTATAAGAAAAAATCCTACCTGTTTTATTTATTTTTCCATTCAAGGAATTACCCGATTTATATTGTATGTAGGCTGGGCTACCACAACCTCCTTAAAGTTTTGCCGTTCCGGCCAGGCTTAGGCCTGGCTAATGTTGCAGGTTTTCTAGTAACCATTTTTAAAGTTTCACAAGAACCGTTTCTTTCAGCATAATTCAACACTTGTACTTTCTCCAAGAATGGCGTATAACTCACGTCGATGCAGTTAACTTAGCCTAAAACATTACACTGCCAATCGGTATATCTTTCAGACTTTTTAATACTGAAGTTATATTAAATACAAGCCAATCCAATAGACTAAGGGATGGGTGAATGTTTGAGACGGCATCAACTTGCGGGGATGGGCGCTCTAAGCTAGAATAGGTTTACCCGAATGTCTGGCAGTGTTAGACTAGACGGCATCAACTTGCGGGGATGGGCGCTCTAAGCTAGAATAGGTTTACCCGAATGTCTGGCAGTGTTAGACTAGACGACACTTGCGGGGATGGGCGCTCTAAGCTAGAATAGGTTTGCCTGAATGTCTGGCAGTGTTAAACTAGACGACACTTGCGGGGATGGGCGCTCTAAGCTAGAATAGGTTTGCCTGAATGTCTGGCAGTGTTAAACTAGACGACACTTGCGGGGATGGGCGCTCTAAGCTAGAATAGGTTTGCCTGAATGTCTGGCAGTGTTAAACTAGACGACACTTGCGGGGATGGGCGCTCTAAGCTAGAATAGGTTTGCCTGAATGTCTGGCAGTGTTAGACTAGACGACACTTGCGGGGATGGGCGCTCTAAGCTAGAATAGGTTTGCCTGAATGTCTGGCAGTGTTAGACTAGACGACACTTGCGGGGATGGGCGCTCTAAGCTAGAATAGGTTTGCCTGAATGTCTGGCAGTGTTAAACTAGACGACACTTGCGGGGATGGGCGCTCTAAGCTAGAATAGGTTTGCCTGAATGTCTGGCAGTGTTAGACTAGACGACACTTGCGGGGATGGGCGCTCTAAGCTAGAATAGGTTTGCCTGAATGTCTGGCAGTGTTAGACTAGACGACACTTGCGGGGATGGGCGCTCTAAGCTAGAATAGGTTTGCCTGAATGTCTGGCAGTGTTAGACTAGACGACATCAACTGGAGGGGATGGGCGCTCTAAGCTAGAATAGGTTTGCCTGAATGTCTGGCAGTGTTAGACTAGACGACACTTGCGGGGATGGGCGCTCTAAGCTAGAATAGGTTTGCCTGAATGTCTGGCAGTGTTAGACTAGACGACACTTGCGGGGATGGGCGCTCTAAGCTAGAATAGGTTTGCCTGAATGTCTGGCAGTGTTAGACTAGACGACACTTGCGGGGATGGGCGCTCTAAGCTAGAATAGGTTTGCCTGAATGTCTGGCAGTGTTAAACTAGACGACACTTGCGGGGATGGGCGCTCTAAGCTAGAATAGGTTTGCCTGAATGTCTGGCAGTGTTAGACTAGACGACACTTGCGGGGATGGGCGCTCTAAGCTAGAATAGGTTTGCCTGAATGTCTGGCAGTGTTAGACTAGACGACACTTGCGGGGATGGGCGCTCTAAGCTAGAATAGGTTTGCCTGAATGTCTGGCAGTGTTAAACTAGACGACACTTGCGGGGATGGGCGCTCTAAGCTAGAATAGGTTTGCCTGAATGTCTGGCAGTGTTAGACTAGACGACACTTGCGGGGATGGGCGCTCTAAGCTAGAATAGGTTTGCCTGAATGTCTGGCAGTGTTAGACTAGACGACACTTGCGGGGATGGGCGCTCTAAGCTAGAATAGGTTTGCCTGAATGTCTGGCAGTGTTAGACTAGACGACATCAACTGGAGGGGATGGGCGCTCTAAGCTAGAATAGGTTTGCCTGAATGTCTGGCAGTGTTAGACTAGACGACACTTGCGGGGATGGGCGCTCTAAGCTAGAATAGGTTTGCCTGAATGTCTGGCAGTGTTAGACTAGACGACACTTGCGGGGATGGGCGCTCTAAGCTAGAATAGGTTTGCCTGAATGTCTGGCAGTGTTAGACTAGACGACACTTGCGGGGATGGGCGCTCTAAGCTAGAATAGGTTTGCCTGAATGTCTGGCAGTGTTAAACTAGACGACACTTGCGGGGATGGGCGCTCTAAGCTAGAATAGGTTTGCCTGAATGTCTGGCAGTGTTAGACTAGACGACACTTGCGGGGATGGGCGCTCTAAGCTAGAATAGGTTTGCCTGAATGTCTGGCAGTGTTAGACTAGACGACACTTGCGGGGATGGGCGCTCTAAGCTAGAATAGGTTTGCCTGAATGTCTGGCAGTGTTAGACTAGACGACACTTGCGGGGATGGGCGCTCTAAGCTAGAATAGGTTTGCCTCAATGTCTGGCAGTGTTAGACTAGACGACCTGCTCATCTTGGTTATCGGTGTGTGTGTGTCTAAGTGTCATGTCGAACTCACGCGCGTGGTAAACTGGGGAGGGCGGGGTGAGTGACGTCATAAGTAGGTCTGGTCTTTTCTACTGCAAGCGGTGTAAGGGCGTAAAACTGTCTGATGTCATATCAGCTCCACCTCTCAACGAACCGTATCACACTCCACCAAATGTGTCATCCACATATCAGTCACGCTTGGTCAGACAGGGTGTCTACATACCACCATACACATTTGAATGGGGTAACTGGCTGGACTGTTTAATTCATACCAACGGCTTCCCACCTCACATATGCAAATGATCAGCTCATCGAGCGGAGGGCGGGTCGTGTCATGTGATCTAGGGGCCGTATCTGTTGTTATCGCATCGTTCAGTCTCCTCTCTCTTGGTTATCAGATATTCGTTTGGTCCTGGAATGTTCGCTGCTCTCGGACGTTCAATATATGCTCTCTTGACTTGGTTTTTGTGTGTGGCAAATTTGTAACTCTCGTCCTATATGTGTTGGTGGTTTAGCTGTAGTTGTGTTATCAGACATCTCTCTATGGCTTGGGTTGTACATATATCAATCAGGTTACACAACTGTAGCCCATTTAACAAACGCCCGCTCACTGTCATCACACACCTCAGCAAGCCTGGTTACCTGTGAAATGACGTCACAAATCTCCACCCCTACCTTAACCAACACAAATCCAAAAACCCAAATACATTTGTTATCTCACATCATAAGGTGTTGGTATTAAACAAATTCCATGCATATACACATTTGTGACTTTTCCCCTGTGACTCTTGTTCTGTTTTTTTTTCTGTGACTTTTTCCCCTATTATCTAGAATTTATCTAGTAGATGACTGTCTTGTAATTTCCATTTACACCATAAACTTGAACATTTCTGCCACCTCACATCATAAGTCGTAGGCGTCGTCTGTTGATGTAGTTCTGTAATTTTGTTACTATACAACCTAAAGACGTGAAGAAAACGTCAATTGAAACCTTCGCATGTATACTTGTACAGAGTGCATGTAGACTCAATCCAAGCTAATCTAAGAATGGTGCTAAGTAATGTGTTCTGGTTGTGAATACTGTCTGTTAATTGTGACAGGCACGGCAGTTAACTGCGGCAGGCACGGTTATTAACTACTGCAGGTACCCGGCTGTTCGTTGCGACTTGTTACGGCTGAGTGCATTGAGTTAGGATGTAACAGCCGCTGCGATATGTTTCATGCTTGGTTGTAACCACGTGTAGTAACTGTAACCATCGTGTAGTAGCTGTAACCACCGTGTAGTAACTGTAACCATCGTGTAGTAGCTGTAACCGTCGTGTAAAAGTGTAGTAACTGTAACCATCGTGTAGTAGCTGTAACCGTCGTGTAGTAGCTGTAACACGCGCTGTGCTGTACATGATGCAGTCGTATAGTAGAGTAGTGTAGTAGTAGGAGTAGCAATGTGGCAATATGCCTGCTGGTAGTGTAGTAGCAATGTGGCAATATGCCTGCTGGTAGTGTAGTAGTAGCAATGTAGCAATATGCCTGCTGGTAGTGTAGTAGCAATGTAGCAATATGCCTGCTGGTAGTGTAGTAGCAATGTAGCAATATGCCTGCTGGTAGTGTAGTAGCAATGTGGCAATATGCCTGCTGGTAGTGTAGTAGCAATGTGACAATATGCCTGCTGGTAGTGTAGTAGCAATGTGGCAATATGCCTGCTGGTAGTGTAGTAGCAATGTGGCAATATGCCTGCTGGTAGTGTAGTAGCAATGTGGCAATATGCCTGCTGGTAGTGTAGTAGCAATGTGGCAATATGCCTGCTGGTAGTGTAGTAGCAATGTGGCAATATGCCTGCTGGTAGTGTAGTAGCAATGTGGCAATATGCCTGCTGGTAGTGTAGTAGCAATGTAGCAATATGCCTGCTGGTTGTGAATGTGGCAATATGCCTGCTGGTTGTGGGATGTCAACAGAACATTCCTCGCCTCCTTAGCCCAGTGTCGTCACAAAAATGTGACCGGTCTGGCCGCCTATCTCAGTGAAGACGGCGACACGTTATGTAGGGCTAGATGGTTATCATTGCTTACCTGGCCTAGTACATTGTAGTATCAAGTGGGTTGGGATCGTGTGTAGCGTGTTGTAATGACTGTGTATTTCCTAGTTGGAATTAATGGGATACTGTGATAGCTTTACTTTGTGCTGTGCTGTTTACTAGTGGAGTACTGCTATAGTCGTGTACTTTGTGCTGTGCTGTTTACTAGTGGAGTACTGCTTTAGTCGTGTACTTTGTGCTGTTTACTAGTGGAGTACTGCTATAGTCTAGGACACAGTACGTAGGTAACACCTTGTTTTCACATCCAAACTCAATAACAGTGTTGTTTTACATCAGGTATCACTGTCACCACACAGTTTCACTGTCACCACACAGTTTCACTTTCACCACACAGTTTCACTGTCACCACACAGTTTCACTGTCGTTAGTGAGACTGGTCTCCCACACACGTCACACTGACCTCAAGACACCCCCACACATATCACTGTCACCACACACCAAGTAGTTGGCGAGACTGACCTCACGACACCCCACACCCACACATTTCACTATTACCACACATCAAGTAGTTGGCGAAACTGACCTCAAGACACACCCACACAGATCTTCCAGTCACTGTTAAATTCCTGGGTAAACATCTACAGCTACAAAAGAATTCGGGCAACTCTCCATATCTCCCCCCCTCCCCTGGCAGTATATTCGGGCAGCCCTCCATATCTCTCCCCTCTGACACTATTAAAAGAGTATAACCCCCTCCCCCACTGCTGTGTGTAAACCGTGTATGCTGACACATCTCTCCGTGTTCCCCTAGTCACGATCTACAATTAAAATGGTCTAATTGTACCCATTGTTACACAATTATAATCTAATTATACCCATTGTTACACAATTATTCCATGCTAATGTGTAACGTCCCTCTTCAAAACCAGCTCACACGCCATCCATTTGTTGCACTCCCTCCCCCCCCCCGGGCCGCCGTATGACCCCCCCCCCCCTGACATAGTTACCCCTATTGAATAATTGTGATGGTGTAGTAGTGACAGGTGGACACACGGAAGACATGGACAGTCCGCTCCGTGTGGACACACATCAAACATTCTTCTTTCGGGGGGGGGGGGGGGGGGGGGGACACACATTTTTAACTTTTTTTGTGTTCTATTTTATCACCTTCGTGTCCACGGCATCTTGTAGATGGGTACAATACGTGCTCGTGTTGTGTCATGTCACTGACTGTCAGCAGAGAGCACTGTGTTAAATAACGTCATAGACATGTCATGACACAGTAGACAAGACAGTAATATGACCTGTGATGTTACTTTCTCCGTGCTGTCTGTCTATACCACTCCATTTCCTTTGATTGTCAAGATGTACAAGCAACGATTCTATTGTCCCACTAGTAGTTCAACTTATTGACTTGAAGCATTCGACGCTTGTGTTAGGTTATTATATATCTGGATGTTATGAGCTGATTCATTAGTAATTCAAGATTATGGGTTGTCCCTACATCATCACATCCCTGCTAACGGGTTGTCCCTACATCATCACATCCCTGCTAACGGGTTGTCCCTACATCATCACATCCCTGCTAACGGGTTGTCCATAAAACACATCCCTGCTAACGGGTTGTCTATAAAACACATCTCTGCTAACGGGTTGTCCCTACAACATCACATCTCTGCTAACGGGTTGTCCCTACATCATCACATCTCTGCTAACGGGTTGTCCCTACAACATCACATCTCTGCTAACGGGTTGTCCCTACATCATCACATCCCTGCTAACGGGTTGTCCCTACATCATCACATCCCTGCTAACGGGTTGTCCATAAAACACATCTCTGCTAACGGGTTGTCCCTACAACATCACATCTCTGCTAACGGGTTGTCCCTACATCATCACATCTCTGCTAACGGGTTGTCCCTACATCATCACATCTCTGCTAACGGGTTGTCCATAAAACACATCTCTGCTAACGGGTTGTCCCTACAACATCACATCTCTGCTAACGGGTTGTCCCTACATCATCACATCCCTGCTAACGGGTTGTCCATAAAACACATCTCTGCTAACGGGTTGTCCCTACAACATCACATCTCTGCTAACGGGTTGTCCCTACATCATCACATCCCTGCTAACGGGTTGTCCATAAAACACATCTCTGCTAACGGGTTGTCCCTACATCAACACCTCTCTGCTAACGGGTTGTCCCTACATCAACACCTCTCTGCTAACGGGTTGTCCATAAAACACATCCCTGCTAACGGGTTGTCCATAAAACACATCCCTGCTAACGGGTTGTCCCTACATCATCACATCTCTGCTAACGGGTTGTCCCTACATCATCACATCTCTGCTAACGGGTTGTCCCTACATCATCACATCTCTGCTAACGGGTTGTCCATAAAACACATCCCTGCTAACGGGTTGTCCATAAAACACATCCCTGCTAACGGGTTGTCCCTACAACATCGCATCCCTGCTAACGGGTTGTCCATAAAACACATCCCTGCTAACGGGTTGTCCATAAAACACATCCCTGCTAACGGGTTGTCCATAAAACACATCCCTGCTAACGGGTTGTCCCTACATCAACACCTCTCTGCTAACGGGTTGTCCCTACAACATCACATCTCTGCTAACGGGTTGTCCATAAAACACATCCCTGCTAACGGGTTGTCCATAAAACACATCCCTGCTAACGGGTTGTCTCTAAAACATCACATCTCTGCTAACGGGTTGTCTCTAAAACATCACATCTCTGCTAACGGGTTGTCTCTAAAACATCACATCTCTGCTAACGGGTTGTCCCTCTGCTAACGGGTTGTCCCTCCATCATCACATGTCTGTTATCTCTATTAGATGTCCGTGTTGTGTTATCTCCCACTTGACGAGCCAGATATCACGACACACCGTCATCTCGTCTCAGGCTGATTAGTGACACTCGACATGACTGACTTTTGTCTCGGTCATGCTTTAAGTTGTGAGCGGAACCTCCGCCTTATGCTGGTGTATCTTGTCCTGTCGTTTACCTCCTTCTCTTATACCTCCATGTCATATACAGTCATCTCTACCTGTAGCCTGCAGGTAATATACGGTCACCGCCTGTAGCCTGCAGGTAATATAAGGTCACCGCCTGTAACCTGCAGGTAATATACAGTCACCGCCTGTAGCCTGCAGGTAATATACAGTCACCGCCTGTAGCCCGCAGGTAATATACGGTCACCGCCTGTAGCCTGCAGGTAATATACGGTCACCGCCTGTAGCCTGCAGGTAATATACAGTCACCGCCTGTAACCTGCAGGTAATATACAGTCACCGCCTGTAGCCTGCAGGTAATATTCAGTCACCGCCTGTAGCCTGCAGGAAATATATGGTCACCGCCTGTAGCCTGCAGGTAATATACAGTCACCGCCTGTAGCCTGCAGGAAATATATGGTCACCGCCTGTAGCCTGCAGGTAATATACAGTCACCGCCTGTAGCCTGCAGGTAATATACAGTCACCGCCTGTAGCCTGCAGGAAATATATGGTCACCGCCTGTATAGAACGCCATGTTGTAACATCTGAAGGTCCCAGTTGTTCCATCTCAAATAGTCGGACAATTTGTTTGGTCAATAAACCGTTTGCTTCACCGGTCCAGCGTGTGTGCTAGTCTTGCTACTCATGGGGGTCTCACTAACTAAGACAGGATGGGGGTCTCACTAACTAAGACAGGATGGGGGTCTCAGTAACCAAGGCGTGATGGGGGTCTCACTAAGACAGGACGGGGGTCTCAGTAACTAAGGCGTGATGGTGGTCTCACTAAGACAGGACGGGGGTCTCAGTAACTAAGACAGGATGGGGGTCTCAGTAACCAAGGCGTGATGGGGGTCTCACTAAGACAGGACGGGGGTCTCAGTAACTAAGGCGTGATGGTGGTCTCACTAAGACAGGACGGGGGTCTCAGTAACTAAGGCGTGATGGTGGTCTCACTAAGACAGGATGGGGGTCTCAGTAACTAAGACAGGATGGGGGTCTCAGTAACTAAGGCGTGATGGTGGTCTCACTAAGACAGGACGGGGGTCTCAGTAACTAAGGCGTGATGGTGGTCTCACTAAGACAGGATGGGGGTCTCAGTAACTAAGACAGGATGGGGGTCTCAGTAACTAAGGCGTGATGGTGGTCTCACTAAGACAGGATGGGGGTCTCAGTAACTAAGACAGGACGGGGGTCTCAGTAACTAAGGCGTGATGGTGGTCTCACTAAGACAGGATGGGGGTCTCAGTAACTAAGACAGGATGGGGGTCTCAGTAACCAAGGCATGATGGGGGTCTCACTAAGACAGGACGGGGGTCTCAGTAACTAAGACAGGATGGGGGTCTCAGTAACCAAGGCATGATGGGGGTCTCACTAAGACAGGACGGGGGTCTCAGTAACTAAGACAGGATGGTGGTCTCACTAAGACAGGACGGGGGTCTCAGTAACTAAGACAGGATGGGGGTCTCAGTAACCAAGGCATGATGGGGGTCTCACTAAGACAGGACGGGGGTCTCAGTAACTAAGACAGGATGGGGGTCTCAGTAACCAAGGCGTGATGGGGGTCTCACTAAGACAGGATGGGGGTCTCAGTAACTAAGACAGGATGGGGGTCTCAGTAACTAAGGCGTGATGGTGGTCTCACTAAGACAGGATGGGGGTCTCAGTAACTAAGACAGGACGGGGGTCTCAGTAACTAAGGCGTGATGGTGGTCTCACTAAGACAGGATGGGGGTCTCAGTAACTAAGACAGGATGGGGGTCTCAGTAACCAAGGCATGATGGGGGTCTCACTAAGACAGGACGGGGGTCTCAGTAACTAAGACAGGATGGGGGTCTCAGTAACCAAGGCATGATGGGGGTCTCACTAAGACAGGACGGGGGTCTCAGTAACTAAGACAGGATGGTGGTCTCACTAAGACAGGACGGGGGTCTCAGTAACTAAGACAGGATGGGGGTCTCAGTAACCAAGGCATGATGGGGGTCTCACTAAGACAGGACGGGGGTCTCAGTAACTAAGACAGGATGGGGGTCTCAGTAACCAAGGCATGATGGGGGTCTCACTAAGACAGGACGGGGGTCTCAGTAACTAAGACAGGATGGGGGTCTCAGTAACTAAGGCATGATGGGGGTCTCACAAACTCAAGGCATGTTAGGGGTGGGGGTTGGTCTGCTGAAGCGAGTTGTGTCTGCATGTCAGTCAGTTCTGTGACTCCACCAGTGTTAGCCCCTGAAACAAAGAGAAAAGCTGCTTGCCCTAATTCCTATCGA